GCCCATCCCATTCTGGCACACCCCTCACACGGTTCGTGGTCCCACAGGGAGTTCCACCGAAGGCCCCAGTGGCACAGGCCGCATGCGGGGACCGCCACCCAATTTGGCACACCCCTAACACGGTTCGTGGCCCCACAGGGAGCTCCACCGAAGGCCCCAGTGGCACAGGCCGCATGCGGGGACCCCCACCCATGTTGGCACACCCCTCACACGGTTCGTGGCCCCACAGGGAGCTCTACCGAAGGCCCCAGTGGCACATGCCGCATGCGGGGACCGCCACCCATTTTGGCACACCCCTCACACGGTTCGTGGCCCCACAGGGAGCTCCACCGAAGGCCCCAGTGGCACAGGCCGCATGCGGGGACCGCCACCCAATTTGGCACACCCCTAACACGGTTCGTGGCCCCACAGGGAGCTCCACCGAAGGCCCCACTGGCACAGGCCGCATGCGGGGACCGCCACCCATATTGGCACACCTCTCACTCGGTTCGTGGCCTCACAGGGAGCTCCACCGAAGGCCCCAGTTGCACAGGCCGCATGCGGGGACCGCCACCCATTTTGGCACACCCCTCACACGGGCTTGGCCCCACAGGGAGCTCCACCGAAAGCGGTATTCACAAAGCGGTATTCGCAGTTGCATATGGTTGGGCTCTTCGTCAGGTAATTTTTTGCGAGATGGAAGTTCCCGCCGAATGGGGCATTCTGGCAGTTCGATTCGACCTCGTGCCCATCCTCGTAGAACGTTGGTCGCTTCGGGTTCGAATCTACCCAGCAGCACGACGTGAGCCCACTACAAAGGCCATGTTAGCAAGTTTGGTTCTGCATTGTCGGTCCGTTGCGCCTAGCGGCGTTTCAAGCGACACGATCTGGCCAGACTGCCAGCCTGGGGTCTACCCACCTTGCTTCCCTGCGCCCCTTAGGCAGGCAACTGCTGGACGCCTTTTTATCGTTTTGCCACGGTGAGGGCATGTAATGACTGCACTGGGTCGTCTGCTCGTGCGGCTCTTCACTGCCAATCGCTGCCCACGTCGCCCTCACAGAGCTGATTTGTTATTTTGTATGTTGTTGTTTTCTGGGGACGGCCAGCTCCCGGACTCTGCTGCATTCGGCAACGCTCCGACTTGGAGTAAGCCCGTGCCCACCCCAGTTCGTGGGTCCACGGGCACCGCACGCGCAGAGAATGATAGCGGTGGCGGTGGCGGTGCTCAACAGGGCCCGAAGACGGCTCAAGAGGGCCGCGAGACGGCCTGATAAGGCCCCGAAGGGACCCCAACGATGGCTTCACAGGAGCCCAACACGGCGGCCCAAAGAGTCCGAAGGAGAGCTCGTCAAGACGTGGAATTGGGAGGTGTCACATCGTGTGACGGCCTTCTGGGCGGTGCTGAGGAGGTGGACGACGACACTAAGCAACACCAACAGCAGGAGATGAGGGAGGAAGACGAGAGGATCCCAATGGACGCTGACGGAGAGAAAGATGCACTATTCTGAGTGAAGCGAGCCCAGCGCGTCTCAGGATCCCGCGCAGTCTGACGAGCGGGCAGGCTTCGCGCTGGCCACCCAGCAGCATTTCGATTCGGAGCTGCGGAAGCGGCTTGTGTGCGAGACTTGCGGAGACCACCGCGACGTCCACGAGAGGTTCCGGGACTTCTCCCTGGACTTCGACAAGAGCCAGTCGGATTCCCCGCTCCAGCTCATGCTGAAGTCGTACTTCGAGCAGGAGAGCCTGGAGGCAAAGTGCGAGCGCTGCGGCTGCGGCCGCGCGCGGATGGAGAAGAGCCTCACGAGCGCGCCGCGGGTGTTGGTGCTGCACCTGAAGAGGTTCGTGCCCAACCCTTCGCTGCAGCGGTACGAGAAGCAGCACGGCAGCGTGCGCATCCCTTCGGTGCTCGACCTCTCCCAGTGCGTAGGCTGCCTGGGCGGGGGCGCCTCGGCGGCCGCCTCGCCGGCCGCCTCGCCGCAGCGCCCCCCCGCGCGGCCCCTGGCGGCCGAAGCTCGGAGCACGCCCGTGGCGCCCCTGGCACCCACGGCGGCGGGCAGCGTGCCCGGGGCCGAGACGCCGCCGCCGCGCGGCGGCGCAGGCGCAGGCGCAGGAGCCGGCCCGCGCGGAAGAGCAGCCCCTCGCCAGCTGTGGCCTTCTGGTGCGGGCCCACGGGCGCCCCCGATGCCGCTGCCCTTCCCTCGCTCTGGCCTTTCCTGGACCTCCCTGGAGGCCCTCGTCGCCAGGGCTGGATTCTCTTCGAGATTCTGGTCAGGACGAACCTCGGGAGAGGTCAATGGGGTGGCAGTATGGGTACCGTTTGGTTCCCCCAGCCGCATTTGCCTGCGTCGTGCGGGCCTGGGAAGAGAGCAAATCGCTCCAGAGCGTTTCGGAACGCTCCCAGAGTGTTTCCGGGACGCTCCAGAACGGCTGCGGCGCCCGATACGTCCTGGAGACCCGCTGGCTCTAGGAGATCCCCACTCTATCCTCATTCGAACTTGGCCTCGCCATGTCTTCGTCTGATTGCGCGCCTTGATCTGGCCCACCCCGCGGCCGCCTAACGCCGCGCAGAAAAGGGCGCTCTTGCCCAGTCACGGGCAGCGGCAGGGGGGATTGGCTCAGGGTGGGAAGCATCGACCCCCTATCGCTCATTGCGTGTGGGGGCCTGGGCGCTCCAGCCCGGCTTGGGCCGGCTTCACTGTCGTGGGCGTAGGCGTACCGCCGTTCTATCAAGGATGTATCGCCGGTTCCAAGGCCAGCCTCAGCCAGCCCTCTCCATCCCATTAGCCAGCGGTCCCCCCCTTTCCGCTCCCCCCCTAGGTGGGCGGGAGGAGGAGGAGGAGAGGAGGAGGCGGAGGAGGAGGAGGAGGAGGAGGAAGAGGAAGAGCAGGACTCACCATTGTAAACCCAAGGCTAATCAACGATGTTGGAAAGCACCCTCCCTCCAAGCTCCCTCGTCATAGGCCCCATACAAGGGGTCATTTCCGCGGAGGAAATTGCCCTTTGGGGGACAACAGTGCAAAACTCTTGAAGCGGGGCAGAGCACCATTCTTAGGACTTCATCGCCACGAGTTAACCTAACTGTTACGTCTTGGCGATCCTGAATCTTGCCAGAACACCATTCCTGGGACTTCAACACCGCGAATTAGCGTATCTGTTGCGCCTCGACAATCCTTAGTCTTTCCAGAACACCAGCTCTGGAACGTTAGCCATGAGAACCAGTAGAACTTCTGCAATGTATTAAAACGAATGCGCGCGGCGCTTAGGCGAGAGCTACATTTTGTAAAGGAGCCGCCCTTGAAACTTTTGCAATTGTTGACAACGAATGTGCGCGGCGCTAAGGTGAGTGCCACATGTATGTTGAGAACCACCCGCCCTCAACCCGTGAAGCTTTTGCAACTGTTCAGAGAAAATATGTGCTGCGCTTGGGCGAGAGCCACATGTTGAAAACGAACCGCCCTCAATCCGTGAACCTCTTGCACATTTTAAACCGAATGTGCCCAGCGCTGAAGGGAGAGCCACATTTCGAAAACGAACCGCCCTGATTCCGTGAAACTCTTGCACATTTGTAAACACAATGTGCGCGGCTGAGGCGAGAGCCATCTTTTGAAAAAGAACCGCCCTGTATCCGTGAAGCTCTTCCAACTTTTTCCCAATATGCTTTAGCATAGGGTTCCCCATTAGCCATGAGACTTCGTTTTTGAAGCTCTCTGCTGCCAGCCTCGCCCTTCACATTGCGTTGCTGTTGTTGTTGTCGTTGTCGCTGTTGTTGTAGTTGTTGTTGTTGTTGTTGTTGTTGTTGTCGTTGTTGTTGTTGTTGTTGTTGTTGTTGTTGTTGTTGTTGTTGTTGTTGTTGTTGTTGGTTGTTGTTGTTGTTGTTGTTGTTGTTGTTGTTTCTGTTTTTGTTTTTGTTGGCGTTGTTGATGCTGTTAAGGTTGTCATTGTTGTTGTTGTTGTCGTTTTTGTTGATACTGTTCCTGTCGGTGCTGCTGCTGTCGTTGTTATTATTGCTGTTGGTGATGATGTTGCTGTTGCTGCTGCTGTTATTGATAGTGTCGGTGTTGTCGTTGTTGTTGTTGTTCTTGTTGTTGTTGTTGTTGTTCTTGTTCTTGTTCTTGTTGTTGTTGTTGTTGAACATTATTTATTCTAAAGAATAATTATTGTTGGGCCCCCTGGTGCACGCCCCCCCTGCGCCGCCTAGGCCGCAGCTACATTTTCATCATTTTCGTGAGGAAGCCTCAGGTAAAACGATGTGATCCAGATCCGGTTGTTTTGTTGTAATCCGTTTTCCCTTGCAAAAAACACTATTAAATGACATTTCTTGTTCTAATATAATCAAATTTCAAGAATCCCTTGCAAAAAATAAGGTAAAGTGGACAGTCGCGCGCGCAAGACGAAATCCAAAACCTTAGTTTTCGCAGCGATTTTAACATAAAAACATCAAAAAAACCAATGGTTTTCAAACAAAAAATTGTCAAAATCTCATCCCGCGCGCTCTTGCGGATTCGTAGGAAACCCAACACTTCGAGGGCAGCAACATCAAACGGGCTTTGTTTTTTTGTTATGTTATTTTTTTTTTTCTTTTTTTTTTTTGTTGTTTTATGTTTATCTTTTTTGCGAGCAACTTTTTCGAACTTCTGCAACAACGGTTGCGCACCTGCCAGGGCCATTATCCCTGTCAAATAATACCATGCGGGACACATTCGTTTTTTCTTCGCGCGCGCACGCCGTCGTCGTCGGCCGCGGGGCCCTGAATAGTAGCACGGTCGTCCGCATGCCACGAAGTGAAGTGTCCGAACGTCATAGGGCGGGAAGCTGGGTGTGGGTGGTGGCGAAGAGTCGTTTGGAAATTTGGTAGAGCTTGAAACGGCCCCCCCACAAAGTGGGGGTATTGCCCGCCTCCTATGAAAACCCTGGCACTGGTGAGAACGGAGTGTCCCCACGTGCTAGTAATTGTTGTTGTTGTTGTTGTTGTTGTTGTTGTTGATGTTGTTGTTGTTGTTGCTGTTGTTGTTGTTGTTGTTGTTGTCGTCGTAATCGTCATCGTTGTCGTCGTCGTCGTTGTTGTTGTGGTGGTTGTTGTTGTTGACGTCCCACAGCTGAATAATCATTATTTTTGATCCCTCCTCTGGTGACCATTGTGTTTTTCAATTGAAGTGCTTCACCCGGGGCTCGCATCCTTTTTTTATCAGGGAAAGCCACTCGGCTCAATCTGTACCCCTGGCCCCCGGCGGGTTACTAAAATTATGGCTCTCGCCTAAGACTTCCTCACAATTTAGCCAGGACCCCCGCTCCCGCCTGAGAGCTCCTCGCAATTTATTCAGGAATTGCGCTCTCGCTTGGGACTTCCTTACACTTTATTCAGGAATCGCTTTCTCGGCGCTCTGGAGTCGCGCTCTCGCTGGAGACTTGCTTGCAGTTTGCTCAAGAATTGCGCTCTTGCGTTGGATTTTTCCGCGCTTTACTCTTTGGCGCCCCGCTCCGAGGAGTTGCGCTCACTTTTAGGACTCCCTCATAGCTTATTTTGGAATCGGCATCTGGCTGCTCTACGTTGCCCCGTTGCTGCAGCTTTCGTGGCCCCTTTCGCTGCCCTTTGTGGACCCGTTGCAACCCTTCGTGGCCCCCTCGCTGCCTTTCGTGGCTCCGTTGCAGCTTTTCGTGGCCCCCCTGGCTGCCCTTCGTGGTCCCCTCTCTCCCCTTCGTGGTCCCGTTGCAGCCATTCGCTGTTCACTCGCTGCACTCCGTGGCCCCGTTGCAGCCCTTCGTGGCCTTCTCGCTGCCCTTCGTGGTCCCGTGGCAGCCCTTCGTGGCCCCCTCTCTGCCCTTCGTGGCCCCGTTGCAGCCCTTCGTGGTCCCCTCGCTGCAGTTCGTGGCTCCGTTGCAGCCCTTCGTGGTCACCTCGCTGCATTTCTTGGCCCCATATATGTATTCCGTTCGTGGCCCCCGCTCGTTCGCGCCTGTCGTGGCCCCATATGCATGCGTTTCGTGGCCCCGCTGTCGCCCTTCGTGGCCCCATGGCTGCCCTTCGTGGACCCGTTGCTGCCGTCAGTGGCAACGTCCTTGCCCTCTGCGGCCCAATATACGTATGCCCTTCGTGGCCCCCGCTCGTTCGCGCCCGTCGTGGCCCAATGTGCATGCTCTTCGTGGCCCCGCTGTCGCCCTTGGTGGCCCCCTCGCTGTCCTACGTGGCCCCGTTGCTACCCTCAGTGGCCCCGTCGTTGCCCCCTCTGTGGCCCCGCATTATCTGCCCTTCGTGGCCCCCGCTCGTTCGCGCCCTTCGTGGCCCCATACGCATGCCTTTTGTGGCCCCGATGTCGCCCTTCGTGGTCCCCTTCCTGCCCTTCGTGGCCCCCCGCTGTCGCTTTCGCTCTCGCTCTCGCTCTCGCTCGTCGACGTCGTCGTCGTCGTCGTCGTCATCGTGGTCGGTCCCCTGTCCGTCCCTCTTGGGGTCGGGTTGCCGCCGATCAGCGTTGCCGCTGGCCAGGCCGACGGTCCGCGGCCGCCCCGCCGCCTGCGGGGGCCCGGCCTGCAGGGAAGAAAGACATACCCCCAAAAAGGTACGATCGAAGACGAAGAGGGCGGGTATCGAGGGTTTGGGAAATGCACGTTGAATGGCATTCGAGCAGGCAAGAGTTAACCGTCTTAAGTTGTTTGTTGTTGTTATTGTTGTTGTTTGTTGTGCGGTTGTTGGTGTTGTTGTTGGGGTTGTTTTGTTGTTGTTGCTGTTCTTGTGTTATTGTTGTTGTTGCTGTTGTTGTTGTTGCTGTTGTTATTATTGTTGTTGTTGTGGTTGTTATTGTTGTTGTTGTTGTTGTTGTTGAGATTGTGTTTGTTTTTTTTTGTGTTGTTGTTGTCAGTGTTGTTGTTATTGTTGTTGTTGCTGCTGTTGTTGCTGCTTCGGTTGTTCGGTTGTGCGTTGTTGTGAAGGCTTTATGTGCTGTTGTTGCTGGTGTTGCTGTTTCTGTTGTTGTTGTTGTTGCTGCTGCTGTTGTGGTTGATGTTGTTGTTGTTGTTGTTGCTGCTGTTGTTGTTGTTGTTGTTGTTGTTTTTGTTTTACTGGTGTCGGTGCTTTTGTTCGCACCTCTTTCTGGCGCCAGTATACGCGGAGTAACTGGAGCCTATTATTCCGTGTGTACGGAATAAGAGGCGCTTTTATTCCGTGTGTCGGATACACGGGGTATTCGGAACCCATTTTCCGTGTATGCGGAGTAGTAAACGCTTATAAGTCCGTGGATCCGATACACGGAATAGTAAGAGCGTAGTATTCCGTGCATGCGGAGTAATAGGCGGTGTGGGGGGACATGCGGGCGAGTAATAGGCGCCTACTATTCCGTGTATCGGATACACGGAGTAACAGGGGCCTATTCGTCCATGTAGATGGAGTACTCGGCGCTTGCTATTCCGTGTATCGGATACGGAGTAATAGGAGCATGTCAATCCGTGTCTGCGGATTAACACGCGCCTGCTATTCCGTGTATCTGATACGGAGTAATCGGAGCGTATTATTCCGTGCATGCGGAATA